AGTGCTCAGCTCACCTTCTCCACATCATCTGGCTTCCCCAACCCAGGGAATGGTCTCAAGGTTAAGATGGGTCTTCCCACATCAGTCATTCTAATGAAGACAATCCCTACAGGCATGCCCAGATGCCCACCAGCCAGGTGATTCCAGATTCTGTCAAGTTGACAATTAACACAGCATTTCAAGACAGGGACTCCTGGGGAATATGAATTAAGTAAAGACCAGGCATAGAAAGTGGTGTCTCCTCCAGTGACGAAGAGGAAGACTTCCAAAAAGACAACAGAATACTTGAAGTACTTCCAGGCTTTCTGCCACACCTTCAAGAATGCAAGAGATGTGAATTTTTAAATACATTTTCATCTTATGCTATTGAAGACAGAGACCAGAATGGGAAGGACACTCCAATACGTGCCAACCACATGGTCACTTGTACAAGTATCTCCCTGCACATCTCAGTACATAAAACATTCCTTCATTCCATACCTAGAAATGGCAATAGACGCTTCAGAGGTTCAGAAGTTTTGTATTCTTTTGGACCACTGTGGCTACCACACCTGCTTTCTTTAATGTATGTGCTCTTACAGTCTTATCCACCAGTTCCTCATAGTTTCTTTCCCTTCTTCAATATATGGAATCACTGTGATCTCAAACTAAGACATCCTTATTTCTTTGTATCACTCCCATTATATTTTCTCCATTGCTTAAATTCCCACAACCAACTCTTCTGTTGCATTTATTTATTTCTCCTTTACTGTACAGAAATCAACTGGTCTCAAGGTGAAAGAGGTTTGACATTAGAGCCCTGGGTTTAATCACAAAGTGGCCCTTTGTTTTGAGGTTTAACCTCTTTCATCCCTACTACAGTGTGAAATGGACATTTGATGTTCCCTGTATGCCTGTGTGTCAAAGGCATGATTCTCAGGGGATGATACTGGGTAGAAATAGGCCCTTTAGTATACAATTAGGTCATTAGAGGCATATATTTTTCAGAGGACTGTAGGCAGCTACTCCCTTCTTCCTCTTTTGCTCCTTCATGATAAAGTGACTATATTGTTGTGTCACACGCTCCCCTTTACTATGGAATGGCACTCTCAATTAAAAATAATGGATCTGTCAATCACAGACTGGAACCTCCAAACTGTGAGCCAAAGTAAACTTCTTCTCTTCATATATTAAGTACACCAGGTATCTTGCTGTAATGTTGAAAAGCTGATGAACATAGCCCCATTTCCCTTCATGTACACGTGAAGATTCTAAGGCTTTCTTTTTAGGGCATGAGTGAAGGGCAGATGTGGCACGAGTCACCTCCAGCACAATGCCCATTTCTACATTATGGGCTCAAGTGCAGCCTAGCCTTCCTTTCTGCAGATTCTTGCAAAGAATCCAGTGACTACACTGACCATGATACTAATCATGATCTGTCTCTATGGAGATAACCCTGAATAATTAACAACTGTGTACACAAGACAACAGAGTTAGTCTTTTTCCTTGATTAAAAGAGCATTTTAAATGTGCCAAGTATCTTAATTAGTAACAGTAATTATAATCAATAATTCTTAAACCTCACAAAAATATGTGTTAAACCCTGAAAACTGGAGTCACACTTTATGTCCTTGGCAGGATAATTTTCTTTTAGAGAATGAAATTTTAGAGATTTAGAGAATCCCTAAAATTTTAGAAATTTAGAGAATTTCCTTAGAGAATTATCTGCCATCTACCTCCTATTACAGAAACCTTTTTAGAATAAACATCTAAAACCCTAGCTGCTTTTCCAAGAGAATGCCCTTTCTGTTCCCTCTTGTTAAAAAGCTCAGGCTGGTCCAACGGCACAGGAGTCTCATTACAGTGGCTGACTTGCCCTGGTTCCTGAGGAGACCTTGCTCAAGGTCAGCTGAGAGGGCCCAGGGAGGGCCCAGGGGGCGCCCCACCTGACTGTGCTGGGGGAACCTGAGCTCTGAGTCATTCTCTTGGCAAAGAGCTGTTCTGGGAAGAGAAAAGCCAGAGGTGCTGGTGTGAAAGGAAGCTGAGTCACCCGCAGGGAACACAGGGCTTTTTGTGGAGGAAACATTGAATCCAGAGAAAAGAGGGTGTTTGAGAAAAACTAGCATGGTGTTTGAGTCAGGACCAGTTAACACCAAAAAGTGTGCAAGGCTCAGTACTCAGTAATTTCTGAAGTATCTAGGAGGCACAATAGGAAAGAATTACAATCTACCCCACAGAAGGTTTGAAGACTTTAACTTTTCAAGGAGAAATTGACATTATCAGTTACTTAAGTTTGATTAAGATAGTAAGAACCTAGAAACAAAGAGACCTGTAAGACTGCTTCCTGAAACTGCAGCCTCATGAGGGCCTCTCACTAAGTGGTACTCTCATGTCTTTTAAAATGACATAGGTCACATGCTCATGAGTTCAGAAGTTCTAGGATAATTAAACTAGAAACAAACTTGAGGAAAAGAGTATAATATGTTCACGTTATGTCTCATTATTCATGCTCTCATTTCCCTTTTTAGTTTCTATAAACAAGGGGCCATTTCAAACACCCAGTGACTACTGGAAAACAGTGTCATTCTAAACACACTTTGAGAACAGTGAAAAACCCTAGTGATATGAGCACCTATGTACCCATGAGGATGCTAGCCTATAATGCACAGGCTTACATAGGATCAAAGGTTACTGACCCTGAGATGGGGAAAAATGGTAGTTAAACATACGGACAAGAGTGAGAGAAAACGTTCTTCTTCCATCTCGCAGCACTTAAGAAAATGTCTGCATGCCTTTCTTGAGAAAACTGCAAACAGCTCTGGAAACAAATCTAAATAATTTTTACACACTAACCTGACCCTATCCTAATTAACTAGCGGCAAGGCTAAGGTCTGTTGTCAGTTGCCCTGATGATATGTGGACGAACCACATCGTTCGGACTTTCTAAACATCCAATCAATGGATCTAACTCAGTAGCTCTATCAAGTAGCACATAGTTACTTAGGCCCAGGAAGGGAACTGACTGTAATTCCTGGATAGCAAAAAGAAGACCCTTCTCTTCTGTGCTTATGGGGTAGCAGACACTTTCCTCCCCTGCCCATGTCCGAATACCTTCTCAGCATGTCTACTGACTTCCTGTTATGCTCATTTGGCATCTGGAAGAAGACAGTGCACAGAACAAACGTCTCCAGACCGATCCTTCTGCATGGTCAGAGAGAGAATGGGAACACTGAGGTCTCTTCCAGGTCCATGCAGCTCCTTAGTAATTTTCTTGCCTCTAGGAATGTAAATACGACTGTTTTTGAGGGCCCTGTTGAGCACACACATCTTCAAGGCACATGTGAGAGCGGGAGTGGTAGGCTCATGAAAAAGACTGAAATGTCATGCTTTGTGCCAGCTATCTCAGGCTTAGCACTGAAAATCCTGTCTCAGGAAACTCCTCAGTTATGGACTTACTAGCCTGGCTAAGTCCCCTGGAACAGGGCTTCTCAATCTTTCCAATGCTGTGGTGACCCCGACAACCATAAAATTATTTTCATTACTACTTCGTAAGTAATTTTGCTATTGTTAAATTGTAATGTAAATATCTGCTTTTTTTTTTTTTTTTTTTTTTTTTGGTGATCTTAGGTGACCTCTCTACTGGGAAAGGGTGGTTCAACCCCCAAGGAGGGTTACAACCCACAGGTTGAAAATCACTGCTCTAGAACAATGCAGAGTAGAGAATACAGAACTAGTTGGAAGCATTCCCTATTAAATCCACCTGTGCCGAGGTACAAGTCTATAGCTCTAGTTCCACCATGGGTAGAGAAAGAACCTAGTGAGTTCCTTTCATCCAACTGAAGCCCCAGCTTCCATGTGAGAACCTACAACTAAGATAAGGGAGCTAAGATGGCGACTAAATCTCAGGGTATAATGTTGAGGGATTCCAGGGGTTTTTCCGTAATTTGTCCTTTTCTGTAACTGTAGCATTCTACCTAGCTTAGGGTGATTGTTATTTGGTAGCAGAGTTAGATAGACTGAGAAGTTCCTGAAGAAGTGATAAATTCAACCAAGAGTATCTTACAGAATGCAACAGAAATAATCATAAAATACATGGTGGCCTATGAAAGCAGTGACATATTACACATGCATGCTGGGAAAAGGCTGGAGGAAGGCTATCCATCAAAGCTAAGGCCATGCTCACTTGCAATGTGGTGGAAGGTTGCAACTGTGTTCTCACAGAGGATCTATCTTTCCCACTTCCTGTCTCACAGAAGATGTGACTCAACTGGAGAGATGGTTCTCATTTTCCTAACTAATCTTTCCCAACATTTTCATTTGATGACAATGAGCTGTCCTTCTAGAAAGGGGATCCATCTGTTTCCCTTCTAACCACTGTTTATCCTCTTCCTCAGCCCATCCTTGGGTAAATGGTTCTGACTATGAGAGAAGAAGCAGAAAGATTTCCATGTTCTCTATCAGTTTGTGGAAGAGACCAGAAAGAAGCCCTAGGAATGGCTGGTTGTGTACTCAAGCTCCTTGAGGCCAGGTCTGTGGGTTTGATTGATCTGTAACATCTATCTGGTCCTCTCTGGTCTCAGTCCTTAGGCTGGAATTCAGGCCCTGTCTTCACCACTTTGAGTCTCATGATCGTCATCAGCAAAGCTCCCCACATCAGCTCCCAGGGTCTACCTCATCATCTCACTGCCAATCTCAGACAGTCTACTTCTCATTCAAGGGCAAAGATGCTTTCTTATAAGTTATCTTCAAATCCAGGCACATTAATGGAGTCATTTGAATACCTGGGAGGTTAGTGATAAATATTACTGTACATAACAAATGGCAATTATTAGCACATATACAGATATGAGAAACCTTGCTGGTAATATTTTGTTCTTGGTTGGGCTTATTTATTTATTTAGTGGCTGACAGCAAAATACTTGAAACACAAGGCTCTCTGTCTTAATATAATAATGGCACAGGTTTCAGAGGCAATCAATATCTTCTGCTTAGGATGGATCAAAGCAAAGCCATACACTTACCTAAAAGGCAATGAGTATTTTATGGAATGCAGACAGAAGCCACGGAAAGCCTTTCTTGCTTAAAGTGCTGCCTGCAACAGGAAAAATCTGAAAAACACAGGATGAGAAGGCTGTTACGTGTTTTCTATTTGGCAAAAATAGGGAAACTATTAAATGTATATAGCACAGAAAATGGTAATTCCATTAAAAATATGCCAATATATATTTAAGTACTAGATAGGAGACATTCATTTTGTATATTTTATTTATAAGATACCTCAACATTTCAAACTTGGTTTGGTTTTCAGAAGAGAATTTAAGCACAATAACGATTCCACAGAAAGAACAATGTAAAGTGATATTAGAGAAATCGCATGAACAGGATCTCAGCACTGACTGGTGCTCACCATCCATGCAGCCGGAGATCCAAGCCCACTCAAGGGAGAACCTGGGTAAGCACCAGTCAGCACGCTGGAGCAGAGATATTGGTTGCCGCAGGACTTCCATGCGACAAGTAATTTGTTTGTTCATTTATTCATTCATTTATTAATTCATTCAGCAAGTACTGATTGAGCATTTTCTACGAGCCAAGTTCAAGGCTCTAGGGGTTTCCGATTTTGTAATTTACATTCCAGAGAAGAGTGATTGGGAAAGAAAAACAAAATAAAAAAATAGATACTATCTCAGGAAGTCCTGCTGAGATGTCACCACTTCCAAAAAGCCCTACAGGAACCATGTTCCAGGCAGAAGGAAAAGCCAATGCCCTGAGGCCAACTTGCCTGGCTGTGCAAGGAATCCAAGAGCCAAAGGGAGCGGGGCTGTAAAGCAGCAGGTGAGTGACCAGTGTGAGTATGTGGCACAGACAGGAAGTTGATGAAAAGTAGCATCTTGAAGAATATTTATGTTAAAGGCATGCTGAGAAGGAGCAATCAGGCACAACAGGCCTAAGAAGAGAGTGGCTTCCCCAGGTCACCATGCCAGAGTGCTGCCTGCTGCCCAGGCCAGTGGCAAGAAGGGACAGTCTCACAAATTCAGCCAGTGAGGTACCATGATAGTGGCAAGTAGAGGCTACTGATTTAAAGGTTTGAAAATGAAAGCATAAAAGTGGCTAGAAAGCGTGATAAAAGAGGTCAGCAGGTTTGCTGACTGAAAGCAGTAGGCTAGGATAAATACAATACCCATTTTTTTCTTTCTTTTTGTCTTTCTTTTCTTTCTCTTTCTTTCTTAGGTTTCTTTTTTAATTAATTATTTATTCACTTTACATTCCAGTCATAGGGCCTCCCCTCCTCCCAGTCTCATCCTCTCTCCCTTCTCTTTCTTCTCCCTCCGCTACTTCTCAGAAAAGGGGAGGACCCCTACCCACCCCAGCTCATCAAGTCACATGAGGACTGAGTTAGTCCTCTTCTGCTGTGGCCTCGTAAGGTGGTCTCATCAGGGGGAAGCGATCAAAAAGCAGGCAACAGAGTCCATGTCAGAGACAGCCCCTGCTCCCCTTACTAGGAATTCCACACGAAGCCTGAGCTGCCCACTGACTACATATACGTAGAGTAAGATGTAGCAAAATAAATACTTAGCCTTTAAATCCACCCTCCCTTACCAACTCATCAGGACTTTAAATACATCTAAACTGGAATAAGGTGAAATTTTCAGAAATTATTTTCTAAGAGTGCTAGAAAAGCAGATGCCTTAGTCATGGTGAGGTGGTGCAATAAAGTGGTGCAGTCCAAAACCAGATTTTACAAGTGAATCTTTACTGAAAATCTAGAAAATAAATGACAAATTACTTAAGAATCTCCTGGCAACCAAGAGCAGAAAGAGTATTTCGTGGCAATGTAAACAACCCAAAATTAATCATTCCATTACCCAGAACACAACAGTCAACACAGTGTGTTGTGATTCTTCTTGGGTGAATTTCACATTAGTAGATACATCCTTAAACATTTCACATCCAAGGTGATGCAGATTAACAACAACAACAAAAAATTCAGGTAGCAATCCCCCTATGCATTCTGAGACAAGTTAACAGACAAAAAGAGTAAATAATAGTTTACATTTCTTACATGTCTAAAATAAGACATGATGACACTTCGAAATATACAACAGATCTGAGGCCACACACGTGCCCGCATGGCCAAAGTAGCAGATGTGCTAAACAGAGGAGAAAACTAGTAAGCTCTGGTCCAGGTTGCATCTTTAAGCCCTCTTCCACTTCCTCCCACTGAACTGGTCCCTCACAGTGGCATTACCAATTCAAGCACAGAGGTCTGATCCTCTTCCTGCTAGTAGTTATTTGGCTTCTGTCTTCCTCTGGAAGCACTTTTTGCAGGAAGGGACTAGGCCTTCCATCTTTTTTTTTCCTCAAAACAACAGTTAACAAAGCCTAGTTCATGGTAAACATCTCTTACTGCAGAATAAAATAATGAAAAAAGAATAAATCTATTTTAATTTTTTTTTTTTCAGATCCAGGCAACTTCAAAAGGGTCAACCCTGAAATAGTCATAGAAATGCTAATGGCATTTCTCCCCATTCTTTTGGAATCACAGGTACCCAAGCTGCCAGTAAGAAGGCACCAGCAATCCTGGCCTGGACTCCTAAGTCTTGTAGCCTACACTTCTCACTGATTTTCTTTTTTCCTTTCCTTTCCTTCCTTCCTTCCTTCCTTCCTTCCTTCCTTCCTTCCTTCCTTCCTTCCTTCCTTCCTTCCTTCCTTCTTTTCTTCTTTGTTTTTTCAAGATAGGGTTTCTCTATGTAACAGCCCTGGCTGTCCTGGAACTTTCTTTGTAGACTAGGCTGGCCTTAAAATCACAGAGATCCTCCTGCCTCTGCCTCCTGAGTAACGGGATTAAAGGCGTGTGCCTCCATGCCCGGCTTGAACAAAATTTTCAAGTGTCCAAAAAGTCCATTTTATTTTCTTGTCTAAGAGACAGAGTCTCTCGAATGCACTAAAAACAAAAAGCTAAGTGATAAGGCTGAAGATAAAAGTGTCTGTTGTGGCACTTTGCAAAAGCCTGAACTTCTGCCTTTTAAATGACCTTTTAGTGCATGTTACCTGGTATCATGGACCATCAGCAGGCAATGTACAGTCTAGACATTTATACTTAAGGCTTTAAGAAATTCCTTAAGACATAGTGATTCTTGAAGAATCAGCCTCAGACCCTGAGAAGAGACAGCACTACCTTCTAGCTTTTTCAGGAATGCACAACTCTTGGGTGCAGCTCACAGGAGGCACCCTGTACAGTCTTACAGGGGAGAGTGCTTTGGCAGTAAGTAAAGACAAGACAACAGCCATCTACTTCTAAGGCAGTCTCCTTAGAGAGGTATGGGGCATTCCCAAAGATGAAGGGGGAAGGAAGCGCTAGGGTTATGACTCAGTGACACACCACTTGCCTAGGACGTGCTGGGGTGTGGGTTCAACTCCAACACTGTATACAAATATTAACTGCATCAACATATCCCTCCCCAGATGAGTGTCCAAACCTAAGTTTTAAAAGGCAAAACAGTTCTGTCTATGTCTGCAATTGGGGAGAATGTCAGGCCAAGAATAACAAAGACATAGGAGGGTCTGGACTTTTGTAGGAAAACAAACAAACCATCCTGGCTGATTTTAAATTTTAACGAGTTCAAAAATCCATTTTAAATTTTCTTTTCCCGGGGATAGATTCTCCCTAATATATTAAGAACAAAAAGTTAACTGATCAAGGTGAAGATAAAAGTGGATGGTGCTGTGGTACTTTTCTAAAACATGAACGTCTTGTCGTTTAGTTCTACTATTAAACTAGCCTTTTAGTATACCTTCGCTGGTGTCATGGGCCATCAGTAGGCCCATGGCTGGGAGTGCACTGAGGCGGGCACTGTCCAGTGAGGAGAGCTGAGGTGTGCTCCCAGGGCATTATATGAATTAGAATGGCTATGTTCATTTCACCACCCAGGGTGTCTCAAAGACGAAGATATCTCCCCACCGCCCCAAGACAAAGATACACAGTCACTCACTGCTGAAGGCGGTCAAACTTCATCATGCCAGACGCTGTTACTACCCACTGAACTTCCACAAAGCTCCTGCTTTCCTCTTGGATCTGTTAAGGGAGTGAATGCCAACTCTGGGTAATTGATTCCCTTCCTGAGAGATCTGGGATTGAGGGCACGGGACGTGGTAAGGAGTAGTTAGCCACCTGAAGTGTCCCTCTGCCCAAGGCTGTGCACTGGGCTGCTTTAAGCAGGACAGAGATGCAGACGGGAGCAGCGATTTTCACAGAAGGTATAAACTGCAGCCCGGCTTCTCAGGAGCAGGGCAAGTGTTCCTGACAGTTCTCAGAGTCTGCCTGACTCTGCTGATGGCAGACGCATGGTGGCAGCTGGCCAGTCCTGTGACTGGTGACTCAGGACACAAGTTTCTGTGGAGTCTGTGGTCTGATATGCCTCTCCATCAGTTATCAAGTTTAAGGGCTAAAACAGAGGCAGAGGCTCTGGACCCCCCCAACAGGTCTGGGCAGGTTAGAGATTTATTTCTATTTATTTATTTATTTTTGAGCCTTGGTCTTGTTAACTGCTTTCTTTCCTATTTTCATTACAGAATTTAAGGTTCTTTATTGTCCTGTCTGGAAAATAAACCAGGCAATCAATCCTTTATAGAATGAAAAAAAAAAAAAAAATGTTGAACGCGTGAGAACCCATCTCCCTACCGAGACATTTCACCTGAAAGAGCATCATCCCTCCCTTAAACAGAGCCGGGAGTCAAACACTTCCTCAGGCGTGGCTGACAAACACCCATTTGAGTCTACTTCACAGAGCCAGATCTGCAAAACTACCAAAGGGGAAACAAAGAAAGACATCCAAAATGAAGGCTGCACACATCTGTGAAGAAACAATAGCACATTACTTGTCTAGCTAAAAGCCAGACAACAAATCAGGACCCTTCTGTCTTCTTCTAATTAAAGTATGATCCGCTCGATTCTCCTTAATTTAGGACTCAAAGTGAAGTCAACAGTTCTGACAAGCACCAACAAAGACACCTAGATGGAAACAACATCGGCTTTCCCAAACAGAAAAGGACCAATGAGAATCACTCCAAAGCACAAGCCCCCTGGCATTCAGGTGAAAAACAATGCTCC